TCTTCTCTCCCCCCGTACCTTCCTGGGCACGGGCTGCAGCCACCCCCCCGCCAGAGGGCCCTGCGGAGCCCTTCAGCCTCGCTGCCCACCGCTGCCTCCTCGTCTCCGTCGGCAATACAAAAGCCCTGAGCAAAGCGGCCAAGCAAAGATGGCACAGCAAAGCCGGTGCCCTCCCTGCAATGCTAACTCCAAACAGGAAGCTTCTCTCCGGGGCTGCGCTCCTAAGCCCGGGACTCCCTTAACCTTTGCAGCTTTCGGCGGGAGAAGGAGGTGTTTGTCACCCAAGTTTCCTCTCGTACCTTTGTGTCACGCGAGGCGGGACAACGTTGCGCCTGTTTCGCAAGCCAAAAGGAAACTTCTGAGGGATGGGCTCGGTGCCATGGGCTGGGAAGGGTCTCCGGATCACACCCCTGCCCTACACCCCATACACAACCTCCTCGCCTCTCTCTTTGAAACTGTGTTTAAAACAACAGCTGAAATACAATTAATTGTAACTGATTAACATGGATTAGTTTGGCCTTCAAAGCACTTTAAGTCAATTCAGCAGCCATAATAATAATTAATTCATTAATAAGTACTATTGGTGCTTCACCGCTAACGCCAAGAAAAGTTTCCCTGAGAAGTACAGGTGGCAGGGAGTGCTAAAATGAAAACATTCGCATGCAACTTTTTAACCAGAAGGGAAAGCACTTTGGTTATATTTGGAGACATGTGTCTCACACATTTCCCCCGTTTTTTGTAAACTATGTAAGAATAAACATTACAGCTCTGGGCTTTTAATTTCTCCAGATGGAACCATAAAGTACCTAGTAGATTTTTTTATATATATATATACTATACAATTGAGGACACATGTCTGCTTTTCCCGATGAGGACCGAGAAGCAACTTAATTTGAAGGCATAACTACTGAACCACATTTTGAATAGCACACTCGAACAAGTTCACTTTAAAAGGCAGGAAACCGCTAAGAGCACAGCACTGAAAGTTGCTCCTTCCCACTTGAGCTCGCCCGCCTGACCTTCACATACACTTTGTCGTTTCGCACACACTTACAGAAGTACACAACGCGCGGAGGTGGCAGGGTGCCTAGCCATGGAGGGGGCTTTTCCAAGGCGGTCGCATCCCCGAGAGGCTCCCCCAGCTCGCTGCAGGCTGAAGAGGCCGCTCGGGATCCCACCTTCGGCGCGACGGAGGAGCCCTCTGATCCTCGGGTGACGTGAGAGGTCTCCTCCTGCCCACCCCGACTGAAGTAAGGGATTCACTTACCCTCTCGGTGCTCCTCTCCGCTCCTCACACACACTTGTGCGCCCAGAAAAGCGCTCTCGTGAAGGGCAAAAGGAGGGAGGGAGCCTCGAACCCCCACCGCTCGGCTACCTTAGGGTTACAGGCGTGCTGAGGGGGAGGCAGAAACCCCTAGGCTGGACGACAAATAATAATAATAATAAAGTATTTAATAAGTCCAAGGATAAGATTTCTTGCTTAATTGTTTATTTTTTGTTTGGTTGGTTTTGGGAGCGGACGTTGGTGATTGGAATGACCAAAATACCTTACACATCTCCCTAACTAGACTTAGCCTCCCTCCTCCTTCTCCCAGCCCCCCAACCCCCTCCCCCCATTCTGACTTACATGTGTTTAGAGCAATGGCAAGGAGCTCCCAACTGGAGCCCTGGCAGAGGGTGCGTTTAAACTAGGATGATTTAGTCCCCGACAGCTCGGGTCCTGACTGTGAGCCTCCAGCCCTGCGTCAGCTGGGCGCTGCAGACAAACAGTCTTAAATATGCATAACGAACAGTTCGCTTTCTTAAAGGAGAACTTACCCCACTGGAAAGTTCATGGCCTGACGGCAGGCACGGGAGCGGGGTGCGGGGGTGACCTTTGCGCCGGGACAGCCCTAACCCCTTCTCAAGGTGGTCTCCTTACACGCTCAGCGACAGGGCTGAGGGCACCCGGCCGCCTTTCGGCTGGGGACTGGGGGAAGAAGCGTTGGCGGGTCACTCATGGGCTTAGTGAGTTGCGGACCGGCGGCTTCACACACCGCCCCAGTCCCTCCTGTCCTCTGTGTGCGAGGGGCCGAGCCGCGCACTTGGAGCAGCCCCGCTCCGGCGGACCCCGCAGCAGCCACAGACCGGCTGCCCGAAAACTTGCGGGGTTCTACAAAGGGGGGAAACGCGGGACTCCAAACAAGAATAAAAAGTGTCTGGGGGGAAGGAGAGGAACTGATTAAATACCCAGCCAGTAGAGCCCAGGCAGGCTGTGGAGATTCCATGAGCGGCTTTTTGGAAAGGAGAAATAACGCGGGGGAGGGACGAGAGACTGCCCGTGGATTTCGCCCAGCTTCCCGGTTGGAAACCGGCCGGCCCCCTCTCCCCGGCCCTTGCAGGATCTTCTCCCGGTAGGAGGGACGGCTACGCCAGGCCCTCGCTAGCCCACTTGCCCCTGGTTTTGCCCCGGGGGGCCCCCAGGGGCCGAGCCCCGACAGCCGCCGTGAGGGTGCAGGCGGCTCCGGGCGCTACCCACGGAAAAGGGGCATCCCTCTGCGGAGCTGGCTCCCCCCGTTTCGGACAATAAGAGTGTTTTTTTAAAATTACTATTCTTTCTTCCTCCCCTCCACACACGTGGTTGTAAGGTCTGTAGCGCCATCTAACGGGAGGCGGAGGCCGGGCCGTGCCGCGGCGCCCAGGGCAGAGGAGAGAGGGGCTGGGGCGGGATCGCCTTGGGAAGTGCCCCTGGCACGAGGAAGGGCGCTGATCCTGTGCATAAAACCTGCCCGAAAGGTGCTTTGTAACCCGACCAGGGCATTGTCCTTCAGGAGCTTCCCCCAACTTCTGCGGTGTTATTTTTATTTATTATGTCGTTGTAGCTGTGAAGAACTGGTAGAGTAACTGGTTTTTTTGGGAGAGGGGCAGGGTAGGGAGGAGGAATGAATAAATCCCATCAGAGCCTGACACAGTTGGGGATGGAAAGGAGGAGGCTCTCTCAACCCAGCACATTTGACTCTTTCCCTTTTTTGGGAGGTCAGAGAGGGCCCCAGGCAGCTGCTGCATCTTACAGGCCTCAAATTTCTGCTGCTTCTTTAGTATCCCAGAAAGCTTTCTGTTTCCAAAATTTTTGAGCACATGCTAAATTTTATGGTTAAATTATGATGCTGCCCTTTTGACAGAGCACTTCAGCCATGCCTCTGTCCATATCCACATGGGAGGCTTCTGACTTGATCGCCCCAGTTCTGTTTAAGCACCGCATTATTTGCCCAGATAGGAGCCTGCTCACCCCAGGCCATGGCATGAACAACCAAAAGAAACAGAGACTCTCCTCGACATTTGGGCTCATATAAGATCACAGCTAATCTCTACAGGTGCCTGCCTTGCTACAGTTCTTGCCACCTGTAAGGACTCAAGTTAGAATTAGAGAATATAGGTACTTCTGCTGAACAGGATAGAAATTTTTCTTTAGGTTTGAAGTTTTTCTTTATTCTGCTTCTGTATTTCTGTTACAGGTACAGAATACAAGCTAAGTCTTCAAATACACATACCATTTTACTGTATTTACTTAGGTCTTCTGTACATACATGTTGGCAGGAGTCCCAAAGAAGCACAGAAATCTTTCTGTCCATACTTGAAGTCGTAAAATGGTAGTGTAGCCTTCAGCTAGAAACAATTGTATTTTCATGGGCCACTCAAACTGGATGCATTTTTCAGCCCAGGTTGTCCAATGCCCTTAGATGTCACTTCTGCATGTGGCAAATCCTGTGTGACTTAGATGGCCAGGTTACATTTGCCCAAGGGATTTTGGCAGATTAAGTATCTGAGTGCCACTGACGTCCATTCACATTATAAAAATTAAACAGAATGCCATCACTGAACTGGTTTTATAGAATAGAAATGTTGATATGCATATCCACAGAGAGGAACAGACTTTCCGTTTTGAGTCTGGAAATGCTCCTCTTATTCAACGTTTGAGAGGAAGGGCAATTTCTGTCTACGCTGAAAAGAAAATGCATTTTTGGGTTCATGGGCAGTAGAAAACCTCTAATAGTCAGGCTAGGATATCTCAGAGTAGGCATGAAAAATGAGACACAGTCCAGTTCATTAACTATCTATGAAGAGTTAGGCCAGAGAGGTTTATGGATAGTTCCAGTGAAGAATTTACATGTCTTAAAAGTTAGTTGTCTCAGTACTTAACTTTCAAGTGCCTTTCCCTAAGATTGGCATCCTTGATGTTGTGTTTGGCAATACTGTGAATTGAGAAGGTGCGTATAGACAAATCTTTTGTGCCTTATCCAAAGCCATACTGTCCAGCAAAGGACAAGAACAGCAGAGAAGCCCAGGCTTGTGGTTGCATTGGGAAATAGAAATTACTGGTCTTAGCTGAGAGAGTTTTTTAAACCAAGAAAGGAAAATCTTTTCCTCCACTTTTACATGAAGAGTAGTGGAAGGACAGCTGCCCAGTGTCTTTCAGATGGAAGATTCCTCCTGCTTGTTCACTCCACAAGGAGTGCAAATCCAGAAGGACAGCAGATGGCACATTTTGCTGTCACGATTTCCAGTTTCAGAAAGATCCTCCTGACATTGGTGAGGGAGACTTACTTTGAGCTCTGCAGTAGTAGGTATTAATTTGTTTCTATTGGGATGGGACATAAAGATTGTAATTCAGCCTAAAATATGACACCTATTTTCCCTTACTATATAATCTAGAGTACCTTGGGGTTTTCCTTATTATTCAAAGGAGTTAAGCTTTGGTTTTGAAATTACTTCAGTGTTGTGAGTTTTCTCAAACTTGAAATACGAGAATAGTTCCTTGAGCTAATTCAAGGCAATGCATTTCTCAGGTCAGCCCCAGGAGAGCCACAGGCAGGATTAGCTATGGCGTGTCAAAGGTACCTTTCACTGTGCAACTTATGTGGGTGAGCCTATCACAAGCTTTTAATTCCAAACTTGCTGAAGTTGTGGTGGAAGGTTTGTGTTTCTTCAAAATTCTTTTGATGAGCCATTGGTGAATTATGTGATAGGCCTATTTGGTGGTTTTTCTGTTTGTTTGTTTGTTTGCTGCTTGTTTTTGTTTTGTTTTGTTTTCTAGGGGGTTAGTTCTGATCCAACTGAAAAAACTCTCTGTCAGCATCAAAGGCATCTCTCAGTGTTCTTCCCATCTCAGTGCAGAAAGATAAGGGGCCAAACCCTTTTGAGGTTCTTCTAGTAAAGCAAGTAGCACATGTATTCCTTTGTACAAAATTGGAGCATTCATCCACATGAAGGTATTTAATTAAAACTGGAGTAGTTTTCAGAAGTGCTAGGGAATAAGTAGTCTCAGTGGGTGCTCAGTCCCTCTGTAATTCACAATCCCTTAATGTAGATGCCAATGTTTTGACTTAGCTGACTATCCTTAATATTTGGGTTTCAAACTTTTGGCCCACGCGTTCTGTTTCCTCAGGGCCCTCTAATCTTTAACTTTTACCATAGAAAAATCTTAATGTTTTCAAGGTTCCACCTTGCTAGCAATATGGTTTGAATCAGAAACACTGCACAGAGACTATTTTGATTTTAAACAAGAATAACCTTCTGGTTTTATTTCTGCAGGTATGAATAAAAATCTGAGAGATCTTGTGTTTTGAGCTTAGAGCTTGCCTTCTCTTGATAGCAGACAGCATGGACACCGTGATAAGGATCAGTGATACAACATGTTTTCCTTCATTAGAAACACAACCCTGACATTAAAAACAGCCTGCTGAAGAATCATATTCATTTAGTAATCATGTTATTTCACAATCAAGGGGTTACTATCCCTCCCCCTGCTCCAGCCTCCCTTTAGAACTGCCCATTTATGGACAACATCTGATATCAATAAGTTTATGATACCTATTTCTAAAAGCAATGCCTGCATTTCAAATGGGGTTTTAGCTGTTTAGTTATCAGATCCAGCACTAACTGCAGATGGGATTTATCTTCACTAACTTTAACCATATACTGGTTAATGCGTAGGCCAAATCTGGGCTCCTTCTGTATTCAATGGAGAAAGATGGAGAGCTATTCATGCCAGGCAGCTTAGGCACCTATTAAAGCAAGGGATGAGTCACCTTTTGAAGTTGCCTGCATCACTCAGTGATTTTAGCAGGCAGACAGGCAGTTAGCTTCGTTATAGCATACCTGACCAGATGGCTGAAGTTAGGGTAGGTGGGTCCTGTCCTACCTCTCTGTAGACATTGCAGACAAGAACATGCTACATTCAGCAGTGGCTCAGGGCTCAGGACTAGTCAAGAGGAGCTGTTATTTCTGAGTATGAATGTGTTTTGCCCATAATAAACATATATCTCTCAGACAGGCTCAGAAAAACTGACCCGGGCCTGCAGCTCATTTGATCAGTTTACAGTGATGCCGACTGAAATACATTTTTATTTTTGCACCCCTTTGTTGGCTATCCAGACCGGAGTGCTTCTCTGAAGCATGAGGTCTTATAGTTTTTTCATGACAGGATGAATTGAACCTTCCCTTTTTTTCAAATATTTTCTACATAACCACATGGGTCTAGGAGACAGGCATTAAACAAAACAAGGACCTCTAAAACTCAAACCAAAACCAGGCAAAAATCAATATAGGAATACCCTTTAAATGTGGTTACACTGTGTTGAAATACACTCCTTTACCCATGGCTGGCATACACTGCTTGTAGAGAGTTAGATCTACATCATAATAAACTCAATTTTTTTCTCTCATTTTC